CCGGGCGGCCCTGACCCCCCGCCCCCCGAGGCCGGCGGGAGCCCCCCGGTGAGTCGGTGCCCGGCGCCCCGGGGCAGGCGCCGCGGCGGGGAACGGGCCCCGCTCCCGGAGGACCCTCCGCGCGAGCCTTTCCTGCCTCCTCGGCGGTTCCCGCTGGAGCCTCCTGCGCGGACTGCAGCCCTTTCCCATCCTGGATCTGCCTTTGTTTTGAGCTGGGCGACCGAGCTGAGCCCAGGCCCGGACCTGGCTCTTCCCTGTCTTTCCCAGCTCCCTTCCGGGGGTGTCTGCCCCTCACCGGGCTGGCGGTAAGGCAGGGCAAAGGCAGGGCCGGCTCCTTAGGCTGGAGCTCGTCCCACGGGAATTGCCTCTTTCCTGGGGAGCAGCTGCCGCGGCTCTTGCTTAAACCAGGGAGAATTTGAGCTGCTCGGAAGGGCCCTCCTTTCCCCCTGGTGTCTCTACCTGCCCCAGCTGCAGCTGTGACCTTTCCAGTCCATCTTCATCCTGCCCACAGCTTTGCTCTGAGTTTCCTCTCGTTTCATTGTAGCCCGTGAACGTGCTCTTTTTTCCTGTGTTTTCCCCCGTTTGCCGCGTGGCCCCGGGTTGGGTGGCCGCTGTGTGGTGGAGAGGCTGCCTGAGCTGCTGCAGGGAGCTCCTTTACCCAGAGCACCCCAGAGACCCCGGCCCAGGCTCCCGGGCACTCTCTGCACACCCGTTCTGGACCTTGTCTTGAGCTTTAATTTGAATGCCAGGTTTATGCTTCTCTTCTTTCCAGCCCTTAAGCAGCGCTGCGTGCCCTGCAATAAGTGTTCTTTGTGAGACACCCCCAAAATCTGTGGCAAGGAGCTTGGATTTTTGCTCTTCATTCCAGAGCACTTTGATTTGTGACTTCTTGGGGCTTTGCAGTCCCCCATGTAAGTTCAGGGTGCCTGCTTGGGAAACTGTAAATGCTGACAGGCTTTCATGCCCCTTTGCCACCAGAGGGTGGGCTGAAGAACCGTGTTCCAAGGGAATTCCAAGCTTGGCAGAGCTTTGTGGCTCCTTCTGCAAGACTATGGAACAGCAGAGGTGCCCACACCTGCCAGCCCATTAGGAAAACAGAGGTAACGAAGAACGGGTGTCGTGGTGAAGAGCAGGGTGTAGGCCACGGGTGTCACACGTCATGGGTGTGCGCAAGGTGGGTTCTCCATCTCCCTGGGGACGAGGGGAGCGTGTTGTAGGACCTGCACCAAGCACGTGCCTGTGCGCGAGGCAGAACTCGGTGTCGTGGCTCACGCTCAATCTCCTGGTGCTCCTTTTGCTGCTGATACCACGCAGGGAAGTTTCACCCGCGGCTCGTCTCGGTTCGGTTTTCTGTCACCGGTACTTGCTGGGAATCTTGGCTCCTTTCTTGCCTTGACCTGTTCTCCAAATCCCTTTGGAAATTGGGACCTGGTGTTTCCCTCTGTCACCCTGAGCAGCTCCCATTCCTTGTGCTCCGTTCCCTTTCCGTTCTGCCCAATGTCCTACGTACAGCATGTTAAGTCTGACTGACAAAACCTCCGTGCCCTTCTCCTTGAATTCACGTTGGAAACGTTGTATTAAACCATATCAGGGATGCTCAAAGGAAACTTCCTTAAACTATGGCACTGCCATTCACTTATAGGTGATTTGCTGAAATACCTTTTTAGCCAGGGTTCTGCTACGGTCTCACTTCTCCACCCATCGCTCCTTGTGTTTGCAATGAGCTCTTAAATCCATATTGCTGATGACTTTTCTCCTCTTCGTTCCTGCTTCATGGGAAAGCAAGGACAAATTCCTTCCCCCTAGGAAACTTTGGAAGCTTATTCCAGTATGTGGGCATGTATATATTTGCAATTATAAGGTTTTTTTTTGCAATTATAAGGTTTTTTTTTTGTTTGTTTGTTTTCATGGGACAATCTAGATGCTGAGGAAAGACCTTAGACTGATTTTTCTTTTTCTCTGTCCACCAAGCTGGCACAGTGTGGTGTTTGATGGCAGCTTCACTGAATAGTAAACCATTACTCCAGACTCCAGGGATTGCACAAGTGAGGATGGATCAGACTCTCAACAGGTTGCTTGCAATCATGATGCTTTGCTGGAGACAGCCACCTCCTGGCTTTTGAGGAGCTGGATTAAGACTCCCAACTCAACTCATGCCAGTTGTGAAGGAGCAGCACCCCTTGGATATGGTCCGTGCTCTGAACTCTCCCACTGCTCACGAGTGGGGCCTGACTGGGGACTGGTGCCTCAGAGGTGAGTAGGATATGGAGCCGATTGACCCCTTAGTTATCAGGTGTTGCAGTTTTTGCTCAGTGCTTCCTGACAAACAGTGCGAGCTGCCTCTACAGCCTGAAAAGACAAAGCCTGGAGGGATGGGACACTACCAGGCAATGGTTCGTGGCCCTGTTTTCCTCCCCGGCTGCCTCTTAATATCCTTGTGTGCTCCGATCTTCCTAGGATCAAAGCTGAGCAGTTCTTTCGTGGTGTGAAGAGCAGCTAGTGCTGGACTTTCTGTTCAGACACACGCATTGCTCGCTGGTCAAGTGCTGCTTTAAGCTGCAGCCATCTGACCTGCGAGGGGCAGGATTCTAGGCTGGCAAATCCACACAACCGAGCGGAATCACAGGACTCGGTTGCCTTGGGTTTCTTGTTGCTGTGTATCCTCGTTGCTTGCTCTGGCCTGGGACGGTACCTGCAGTCTCCCGGGGTACCGCTTGTTGAGCTGGAGGAGGAAGATTCTTCCGAACTCCGGCCCTCTGGCTTGCCAGGACATAATGCATCGTGCGACGGCCTGTTGGATCCCACGAGCTCCTGCATTTCAAGTTATTTGTTAACTTGTGGTTGCCTCTCGCTGAGCTGCTAAGGAAGCTGCTCCGTCCACACGTTCATTTGGTGGCAGTGCTGCCAGGGGCCCTGGACACAGCACAGGGACTTAGGCGCTGTTCTTGTGTTAGACCCATTGGTTTTTTTCAGGCCCAATATTAGGCTGGGCCTCTCTCGGCAGCCTCTGTGCAGAACTGTGTTCTGTGCTGAGAGTTGAAGATAATCCCTTCTTGGGGCAAATTAGCATCTCTTCATCTTTCTGACTAGCTGCTGCGGCTCCCTACAGACACGCTGCTGGGTGAATATTCCAGAGTTGGTTGTTCTGGGCTCCAAATTTTGAGGTTTCTCTCAAAGAAACCTTTGAGAGGTGACTGAGAGCAGACCCAGGGCGTCAGGACTGCGCTGCTGTCCCATCTAGCAACGTGATGTTGCCCGCTTGCACAGCCCAGTGCTGCCTGTGGTAGTTCCGGCTTAGAATCATAGAATTCCAGAATCCTAAAGGTGGGAAGGGACCTTTGGAGACCATCCAGTGCAACCCCCTGCACACACAGGGTCACCTGGAGCAGGTGACACAGGCTGCGTCCCAGCGGGTTTGACGATCTCCAGAGAAGGAGACTCCACAGCCTCTCTGGGCAGCCTGTGCCCGGGCTCTGGCACCCTCACACTGTTAAGAAATCTTTCCTTAAGTTCCTGCAGGACTTTTGGGGCTTCAATTTGTGGCCGTTTCCTCTAGTTCTATCGGTGGCCACCCCTGAAAAGAGGCCATGTGACAAGTATGGGCTAAAGCTGGGAAATAAGGGTTAGAGGAACATGTCAGACATGCCCAAAGCTGCGTCGTAACTTATAAGTTACCTTATCAACTAACTAATGTCAGGTGCTTTGTCATCCCTGGAGTTCAACCCCTGCTACTTTGCCTGTCTTGTTTTATTTAAATAAAAGCTGACGGCAAACCAGCACCTGCTGTGGTAACACGAGTGCATATAGGAAGCCAGGTAAGTTGTGGACAACCGACCCAAACTACATAAAGCAACTTTATGGGAAACCGTCCCGCATGGACTAGAGATTTTGCCACAACTTGGAGCGCTCGAGTCTGGGAGAAGGGCAGGAGCTGTTCCAGAGATCTCAGCAGAGATTGAACCCCTTTGTGCTTCCCGTTCTATATGTGTAGAGTAGAAAACAGAAAATAGCAAATGCCCTTCACCTGCTCTAGAACCCCAGCAAGAAGATCTTGTCCAATAGGTTGACTTGTTTAATTTCAGCCATCGTCATAAAACAGGGCATCACCGGGCTTGCTGGAGGAACCATTAGTGTGAGGGTGAGTCTGTGGGAGAGGCATCATCTCTGAGACTGACTGAGTGGAAACGGGGCTCCCCCGGGGCCGCTCTGCAACCCCCAAAGCGGTCCTTTTGGGAGGTGATAGGGAAGGAGGAGTAAAACATGAATGGCCGCAGTCTCCCTGTGTGCAAGTGCCATGTGCTCCCAGGGTCCCTGGAAAAGCCGGCGTTTACTAATCTTCCTTGGCTTTTCATTCATTTTAGGCTAATTTCTTTCCTGTCGCTAATTCGCCGGGTGCAGTTTGCCAGCGAGAGCAGAGGACTCCTCGCTCCAATTCATCTTTTGCTGGGAGTGAGCAGTGAATTTAATGAAATACTTGATCTCTGCTGAACTTCCAAGCCCTGTTAGCCACCGGAGTCTAACATATGCCTTGGTCGGAGTCTTCCTTTCTTTAATGCCTCTTGGAAGTGGCTGCAGCTGGTGGTGCATTTGAAAGCCTTGAAGAAAGAGAAGGAGGTGGCAGTGCTGCTGACTGCTCCTGTGTCTGTGACAAGGGAAGGGGACACGGCGCTCGCGTCCTAACGCTGCTTCAACAGGTAGTTGAGTTGGCTTTGTTTTCTAAAGCTGCTTCCCGCTTATATAAATACTAGTTCTGATAATAACCCATTGAGCTCCTGCTTTCTTTCACCTCAGCCTTCTTGAGGAGCAGCAGTTGTCCGGGGAGAGGAGGTGACGGTGACGCTTGGTTTGACGGGGGGACGTTTGTAGTGGGGAAATGAGGGCTTGAGAAAAGCCAGGGGACCTTCAGTTCTCTGAATGAACCATTATTGGAGCTTCCTGGTGCCACACATGCCGGAGAGGCTGATTTTTGTCTTTCTGGTATCATTTTACGTGGCCATTGCTGTCTTTAAAGTGTAAATTGGGTCCAGGACCCTCAATGTCACTGCTCCTTGCTTGGGTGCTGCTTGTTCTAATGGGCTCCTAGATGGGTGCAACATCTCACCACGTCTTTACCTCGCAGCCCAAATAACCCCCAGGGAAACCTCATGCTCTCCAGGCATGAGAACAGAATGAGAACGTTTTCCTTCACACTTCTTCACGTTTTCCAAACTGAATTGCAGGGAAGGACCAGCTGGAATTAATGGCATCTCTTAAGTTCCTCTAGTAAGAGGTTTTGCTTTACGTCCCTGTGTTTATTCAGGGACCCCAGCTCTAAGGACCAATTACTAATTTCAATTCTGTGGAAAACTAGGAGACTTCTTAGCACTTCTTTGGGTGCCTTGGCTGTTGCATACAGTGTATTTGACTTGTTCAGCACACAGAAACACTGGTGACAGAGCTGCTGCCATTCTGTTTTGTCCCGTAATTTCATACTTATTTTTCTTTAAAAAAGCATCCTAAACTGTTTTTTTCTCCACCATCTTTGGTATTTTTGTAGAAATCCAGCCGACTCCAGCTCATGAAGAATCTAGCAATTTGGATCATTAGCACTAGATCCATTGATAATCTAGAGTATATCCTGGTTTTTTTCTTTGTAAATGACTGCTTTAGGATCACTCAGAAATTAGCTGCCTGGCAACATAAAAGCACAGATATTAAAATGAATCGCAAGCCTTTCAACTATTTTTATTACCCTGCTAAATTTAGCCCAAGTGGAGCAGTAGCAGAACAGAATCTCGGGGGGATTTGAATGAAAGGCAAGGCAGATCGGACCCGGTCTCTCAAGCAGCAGAGAACGGAGGTAGCCTCAAATAAGTCTTGCGTTTGGTGCCTCAGTGGTTTTATTAAATGCAAGCTCAACCCAAAAGCAGAGCCGTGTGGCTGCTCTTGGTGCAAAAAGAGGCAAAAAAGGCTCTCGTCAAGAGCCTCTTTTCAGGTGAGCTGTTGAGTTGACCCAATGTGATTTCCTCGTCCTGCGTCATTGTGTGTGACAAGAACTTTGCAGCTGGGGCCTTTCCACCTTCCCCTGTCCATGTCCCGGAGCTGCCTGGCTCTGGATATGGATGTGGAGCCCTGATCCTGCGGGATCTTTGAGCAATCCCCATGGCAAGCTCAACAGAGGAGTTTTGCTCCATCTCTTGGAGCATCCTCTTGATTTCTAAGTCCTGGTCAACTCAGGAGAAGAGCCCTGACCTCCTCCTCTATGCTAGCAAAGGCGACTTGTGCTTCTGCAGAGCATCCTTTGGGACCGAAGGTGGGTCCCAAAGGGAAGGGCTGATAGTTGCCAGCCTGTCTCCGGGCGCTGGGATTCCCTGCCTCGGTGTCGTCAAGCGGCTGCCTGCAGATTTATGGCTTGGATAAAGCCCAGGTCCATGACGTGCTGGCAGCAGGCGCGGGTTTGTGTGCTGCAGGCTGAGTCACTGCTGCCTCCCAGCGCATTGCTCCGAAGACGGTGTGTGGGCAGATGCAGCCTCCTCTTCATGCAGGTCCTTTCTGTGTATATATGGCTTTTTTTTTCCCCTTCTTTAATGAATTTTCAAATTTTCCATATTGCTTTGGCATCTTCTTTGAGCAACTAACTTCTCTTGAGCTGAGTTTAGGCACGAGAGCTGCTTTATGGTGGCAAAAGTTCTCAGTGCATCTTGGAAGCTGAGGTCTTAGGGGAAGCCTTGGGCATCTGCTCCCCTATCCCCAGCCCTACAGAAATGGGTGGTTTGGGGTTAATTGTTCTGTTCTGATCATTCGGAGAAAGGGAACAGCACGGATGAGATACAGGATGCAAATGTATATGCAATGTATGTCTAATATGTGCAAATCCGTTGAACTTAGGGTGCATTTCGGGTGCTTGTCGACTTTTTCCATGTTGAAATGTACAAAAAAATTAGAAATTTGGAGGCGTTGGGGAGGTTCTTTCTTCTCATACACACACTTCAAACAACACGGAATTCCCTGTGCCAGGACAGTGACCAGCATCTATCCAACCTCTCTTCTTTAATACTGTAGAGCAACATTACGTGCTGCCCAGAAATAGCAACCGTATCATATATGTATGACATGATACATATCCCCCCCCCGCCGTGGATGATTCCCAGGAATGTTCTGCTCGGCTCGCAAGCTTAACGTATTCCAGCTTTACCATCAGCCCTGGCCACCGTGTGACCCTGCCTTGGAGAAATACGTAATTATCATGAAAAACTCCACGTTTGGTCGATGCA